TCGTAGTTAAAAAAAAAAAAAAAAAATAGTGGAAAATATTTCATCTCTGAACTATATTAAATTATTAAGCGCTAGGACATCCATACTGATATAACTTAGAAGAACTCAGCTAGCATGGAAGTTTTGTACCATGTCGTGTTTAAAAATTAGTATACTTGCATTTCATTGGAGGAGGAAAGCTAATGTATCTACCTTATTTTCCTGTGATGAGTCGATACCGTAAGCTTTTCCAGTGTACCTCTCAGCTGTCCTATTTTAGTTTAAGATCCATGGACCAATTTTTCCATCACAATTCAGAATCACATTGTGCAGGTCAGGAAGAAGTGGTATACAACTCATCTGTCTGCTCCTGACAGTGAGCCAGTGCTCCTCATTTTGGGCATTTGTCTTGCATTTGGCAACAGGTTGTCTCCCATCATCAAATATCTTGCTCGTGATACGAGATCTAGTAATAATGTGTATTCCTGGCGAGAGAAATGGCTAGGGAAAAGTTAAGATGGCATAGCCCGATTTACATTCAGATGACTTTTAATATTATTACATAAGGCTTAGATGAGCTCTCAGCAGGAGAGGATTTTTAAATCATGTTCTGTTTAAAGAACAGTCCATTTACCTTTAATTGGAGAAGGGAAGCAAACATCTGTGCCACTTTTTGCTAATTATCTCAATATTTTTGTTTAAACAAGGCATTCACATTCTTTTCTCTGCCTGCAACTTGATCTTCTGTCTCTCAGTGAGTCTTTGTATTTGTCACTTCCACTTTTAGTAGTACCTGAATCCTCCAGCTATGCCATAACGTGTAATTTTTTGACAGTCGCACTTATGTCAGACAACGATGGTGTAAACAGAGGCTTACTGTTTCCCTGCTGGGCCAAAGTGAAAGAACACTGTAGCTTGTGAATATTTTGGGGAGTGGGGTCACCAGAGTTGCCCCAGCAATTCCCTGACTGTTCAGTGAGGGAACGACTGTCGCAGAGGATGTGATTTGCCATCCTAAGGACAGGACCCAGCCTTCTTTCTTGTTAGAGGTCTGCTGCACTTGGCAACATTTCATAAAGGAGTACAGTGCTTTTTTCACAGTCAGTAAGTAGGTGGACTATGCAGCACAGTCCCACATTCTCATCAAGCTGCCTTGAATTATTCTGATCTGCCCCAGCAGGATAACTCTCTGGCTAAGGGCAGACATTACACACAAACCAGTTCAAGTGATGAGAAACTGGTTTACACCTGTAATGAAACTGATGTTCAGTGCACATAAACCAGTTTGAAAATGGCTGAAACGGTTTGAGATAACCCTGGTTGAACGTGGTATCAGTCTTAACTGATTTGGCTCAAGCCAGTTTATGCAATGTCTGTCCCAGACACCTTGCTGGTTTAAGATAAACCAGACTCCCCCAGCATCCCAGCATGCTCTCTGGGCTGGGCAGGGCTCTCTGCTCCACAGCAGGGCTGGCCCCTCCCCTCTGCTCCGTGGCTGGAGCTCTGGCAGAGACTTGCAGGCACAGCAGGGTCTGCCTGGCTTCCCTGTGCCCTACCCCTGCCCTCAAACAGGAAATCCCCCTCCCTCCCATCTCCCACAGCAGGGACCCCGGCCCCACGGACCCTAGGCGTGTGGTGTGCTAGCTAATGTAAATGTGTGCATCTCCAGTCTGCCTGTCCCAGTGAAACAGAACAGTGACCACTTAGGGCTGTTTGGAGCTAATCAACAGGTCAGTGGGTAAGCTGTTTAAGAAGAGTTTGAAGTAATGGAGAGAAGCTATTGTTTTGCTGATCGGGTGAAAATCACTGTAATCAGTCTTCTGCTGGTTTGCTCACCTGTCAGTTTGCTGCAGACAGTATAAAGAAGCAGGGAGGGAGATTGAAAGGCTCCATATCATCAACAGATGCATGCACTGCACCCTCCATCCTTGCCTCAGAGTGCTAGCAGGGGGCTGACAACACTCCTGTCCCCTGAGCAGCAAGCAGGAAAAAGCCTGGGACTCTGTAGGGCTCCTGCCAGAGCCTGGCTACACCTCCCCTCAGCTCAGCACTGTGCAAGGGAAGGGAAGGCTGCTCTAGCACCCCCTGTCTTCTAGCCTGAGCCACTGCTGGCATGTGCCTGAATTTCCTCAGTCCAGAGACAATGTCTGTCCAGTCAGAAACCTGTTCAGCCTAGCCAGGTTAGACTAAGCTGCAAAGATTGAAGCAATTCAGGCTCAGGCTTTTTGAATGTCTGTTCCCTAGCCTCAAAGACCATCTTTGCTTTTGCCCTTCTTACTGAGCCCCAGAAGGTCCAAAAAATTTGTACAAAA